GCTGGCGCCCGGGTGGTTGTGACGGCAGCCGGCCGGCGTTTACTGGGTGACGGCTCCCCTCGCAACGCGCGTTCTTAAAGGGCCCGCGCCTCAAGGAGCCCCCCCCCACCGCCATTTCGCGCCCTCCCACCCAGCGCCATTTCACGACGTAGCCCCCCGGGATCCCACGGAAGGGCAGCGCATCCCTCCTCAAAGTTCCCAGCCCCACTGCCACCTCAGGGGCACCCCTTGGCTCATAGGCTCCCTCCCCCCCTCAGCTGTGAGGAGGTGGGGTTTGCATCTTATTTCTAATCATTTTTTTTTTATTAAGTCATCTCCTATGCTTTTCCCTCCCGACATTTCTCCATTGAGCTCAGTATTCAGTACAGCAAGATCCTCTTGTGGAGCTTGCTTTGAAGCAAGACCTGAGCTCTCCCTCAGCTGCCCTGCTGCTCCAGATGACTTTTTTATTTTATTGAGGCAGAAGGTGAAAAGTAATAAAAAAGAGGTGCTAAGCATATCATGCTTCATTTCCCAGCTGAGCTCATCCAGCCTCCATTTCAGCTAAAAACTTGCCTTTTTCATAATAAGGAACCCTTCAGGGCTCACACCAAAACTGAAAGCCACAGACCTCCTCAGACACAACAGTAAAGATGGGTGGTGGTTTTTTACCTCTTTTTTAAATAAATAAATTAAATAACCAATTGCTGTTTAGTAAGAAAAAAAAAAAACAAAAACTGGAAGTAACAGTATTGTTTGTGTTCAGACTTAAGTGTAGTACATCTCTCCTCCCCAACAGAAAATATTGTCACAGAAAATATTAATTAGCTTTTACAGATTACAGCAGTGGCTCTTCTGGGAGGACTGAGAGGTCCTTAACAACTGGGATCGTAGGTGTGGTAGATGTCTGATAATATAATGATATGGGTAGGTGCCTAATAATATAACAGGGAATGCATGAAACTCGTGGTCTCTAAGGCAACTTGAAAGCAGAAGAGGCCACCTGCTCAAAGCACTAAGCTTTTCATATACTGTCATAAGCCAGAAAGCACAGGGAAAACAGAAAAAAAAAATGCTCCGCCGGCATCCTATGTTAAGAAAACAAGGCAGTGGCACCATCGGCAGAGGTGCCTCACCTCCCTAAACATCCAGCTGAAAACAGGAAAGCTTTGGTCCTCTTGATGGTAATCTTCAGGATCCTTGATAGCCCCTGGGATCAACCAAATGCTCCTACTCACCTGTGTAAGGTGGTCACAGCCCAAGAGGCAGGCTGTTTCTTCTGACTTATTTCTACCCAGCAAGCTGGTTTGCCCAGAAGCTTGCTCAAATAACAAGGTAAAATGCAGTTCACACTTCACACACAGGGACCAAGGCACCTCAGAAACAATTAAATGATTTATGGGGTTGCATTAACTATGACAAACAAGGAGTGTACAGCCAGTTTCCTTCTTGAATCCAGAGGTACGAGATACTTCGGAGACTCCAGTCTCTAGGGAGCATCTGCCACTGCCAAATCACTGTTCCAGGATGGAACAAACTTAATAGAAATCATAAAGACCTTCTCAAAGGAACTGAGAGACCATCTGGATATCCTCCAGGAGGAGGAGAGTAAGAAAGGCAGCTCACTAGTGACTCACTTGGTGACTAGGGAAGGATTCCCAGTTTCTGAGGGCACTGCAGGCTGGCACTGAGGGCACCACCAAGTCAATCTCTTGAAGCCATGCGAGGATCCAAGGGTTTCCTTCATCACTGCATGCCCGAGGGGGCACTGCTCCTTCTGGTAGATCTGAGGGTGCAACCCTTTCCCATGCAGCTTGCTCTGCAGCCAGTCAGAGCTGAACTGAACGGCGTAGTCAAGCAGCCGCTCCAGATCCGAGACAGCCAGGAGAGAGCCTTGTGTTAATGGATGAATCTTTGCCATGTACAAAATCTCATTCTTAATGATGTTCCCTGGAAAGGGTCAGAAATAAGAAGACTGTAAAAATATTTTTTTAATCACAATGACATAGAACACTTAACATCGCTTCTGTCTTTAGCATGAGGCCACTTGAGCATAATTGAGCACCTGTGGGCCCCATCACCATGACTTCTACCTAAAGAAGACATAGCTAGTTAGCAACACCATTCCCCAAACGGGAGGTAGCACACATGGAGCAGATACATCTGGAAATAGATCTGATGACTGTCTCTTCTCACCACCCTCTGAGGAAGCTTCCCTTCACAAGGACAAGCCCATCAGTAGTTCCTCCCACACCAAGATGATTCACTAGGCTCACCAGATGCACTTAAGCACCTGATGAAGTCAATGGCTACCACCTGCAAAGCTTGTTCCCAGTGAGAAGATCACATAACCTCTCGGCTGAATCAGCTAGCAGTTTGCTTTACCATAAGGACTTAGAGGCTTAGATTTATAACTTGGGATCTGTAAACATCCCATCCACCTTCCTCCCTTTATTGCTCTGCCACCACACCCTAGAACTCACCCAGGCCTGAAAAATATCTCTGATCTAAGAGGGTGTAGCAGACAGGATTGGGTGTCCTGAGGGCATCCAGCGCCCGGCCACGGTGGAACTCCACAGAAAGGATGTCAGAAGCAGGATCAGCCATTGGAGAAGAGCACCAGTGCATCCGGCAGTTGTAGAAAACAAGGAAGCCTCCACTCTCAAAGTGCAGAACCAGCCTGGGGTTGAGGCAGAGAAGTTGTAATCTTTAGCCAAAAAGATCCCTGAACCATTTGTTATATTCTGCTCTGGCTAAAATGACTTAATGGAGATAGAAGTGCAGAAAGGGACAGCATCTTAGGAATGAAGAGTCACTAGAAGACACAGAAAAACCTATACATGACATAAGTTCACAGAGAAGGAGACTTTGCATACACACTCAATCACTAACCCCATGGAAAGCAGAGGTCAGTAATTCCCATGAGATTAGGGAGACATCTTAATGTCCCAGTTTCCCTCAATCAGGGAGGCTACTACAGTTCAACAAGCAGGAATTAATGCTTAAGCAGGAAAAATGCTTAAGCTATTCCTTCCTCTCTCTTCACATACAGATGCACAAGGGATCAGGGGGCTCTCCAATATATTACACCATCACCTTAAAGCAAGTAGCCTCCTTTAGTGCTGTCAGCCAACTCATGGAGAGTTGTTCCTTCTGCTGTCCTCCAGCCTCTAGACAAGCAGATGACAGCAGGTAGGGAGAAACATTAGCATCTTGGCCACCTGTGGCAGGTGAACCAGGTGACCAAAGGCTCTAGCAACAAAGGACTAGAATGGGAATAAATATTCTTCCCCCACCTGGATCAAGTACACCATGTATACACATGCCAAACACCCAGCTGATAAGATATTTAACCCAAGTGAAAACTCCAACCAGTGACTTCAGCTGCTCTAGATGTGCTTTTTACTCAAGGCTTCTTTATAGTTGGGACAAAGTGTGCCTTTTTATGGCATAATTCAACCTTGCATCCCAGAAACTTTCTTGGGATAATTGTCTAATCTCAGCTGGTACTACAAACCCTAGGTTGGCCAGCAATATGACTCTTATACCTGCAATCCATTAATTTTCCAATCTGTAACAGATGAAACACAAACAGAGGTAGCAGAAAAGGGAAAGCTTCAGAGAATGAAACTGGAAGGAGGCAGAAGGCAGCAAAAGAACAGAGAGCCCAACCAAAGACACCTCAACTCCTCAGCAAAGGCAAAAGAACTTATAGTGCCAGGACAGGGTGTGCCCAAGCCAACCTCAAACAAATAGTATGTTAGGTGATTTCCAAGACTCCTAAAGCATGGGAGTACCCAAACAGCAGTCTATTGTGCTCTCCCTGGTTTCAAATATGGTGTTGATCACACCCCATATCCGCCTACTCAATACACACCAGTGGCTCCTCTCACACCACATGTTTTCACAGGTTTGAGAACTATTACAGAAAGGAAAAGACAAAAAGCATCCCCATGTAAGTGTAGTTTAGAAACAAAAGAGTGCCTCTCTGATAAAATTAGGAAAACCAAGTTTGCTAGAAAGAGGATTCAGCCAGTACCTGGGTATAGGGTCCTTCCAGTCCCCTCTCTTATTGGCTTTGTTTGCTCTTGAGAATTCATTTGCCCGAATGCTGCCAAACAAGCCAAAATGGACACGCAGCCAGTTGCCTGCACAACCTGCATCTGGGGCATCACATATGGAGTGTGGGACTTCCTGAGGCTCCTCTTCTGGGAGGTCTGTCTGTGGAGCACAAACCTGTTCTTGTCCCTCCTGCGCAGGAGAACTTGCCCCTCTACAAGCCTCTCTTTGCAATGCTAGCTCTTCTGCACTTAGTCCTAGCAGATCTCCAGCTGCCACAAATGCCAGGAACAAGTTTTTCCCATGAACCTGAGAAAAGAGGCAGAACATGCTGAGGATCCAGAGAGTCACTTGCACATCAGAAGAGATGCTCAGGGTTTCAAATTCTGTGATCAGGATTCTTCTGCCTTGAAACAGCCCAGTGGGACTAAATTAGCCACAGGTGTCCCCAATGTAGATATTTTAAGTTAGCTGAAACCCTGCCCTCTGGTACACATCATCCATGCACTGGAGAAACTGACTCTCTATCTCCTTGGAGAAGCCACTGACAATGTCAACCCCTCTTCCCTTGCAGGGCACAGAACTAGTGCATGAGAACAAGTGACCAAAACTTCAGACCTCTGAGCGTCTATGTGTCCAGCCAGATCCCTCTCTTTGCAAAGTGTCTGTATTTCGTAGTTATAAACAAAGCCCATGGTCCACCTCAAGGACAAGTTTGGTGTCACTCCTGGGTTGCACACCACTTGTCATCCAGATGCAGGGCAACAGTGGCTTTCCTCAGACCTAACATATACTGATTTTATATATATATAATATATATATTAATTATATATATTATATTAATTATATATATATTATAATATTATATATATAAATATATCCTCTTTCATAGCCCACCTGAGAGTCCTGGAGCTTCAGCGCTTTCAGTTCATTCACATTGATCTTCCGGCTGCTTCCCCCCACCTTGGTCACTACTTGTCCCACAAAAGGGGAGGTCAGCAGCTGGAATTTCTTCACTGATGGGCCCTCCGGCATCTCTGGCAGCAGAACAGCAGACACCTCTCACACTTGGCAGCCTAAAGTTCAGGGGACACTGCAGCTCAGAGCTACAACGCCCACTGGAGGCTGAGCTCCTGTCTACATGAAGGGTTCAGAACAGTATCTGCACCTCCCTCCCCTTCAATCCCTGTGGAGAAGTCCATGGAGAGAGAAAGGCTCCTTCCAGGCCACACTACCAAGCGAAGCATTGCTCCATGATCAGCACTGGAGTTAACTCATCATCACTTTATGAGCTCCTTGCTGCAGTTCAACTAACTCCAACTGCACGGGGCAGAACAGGGGGCATTTGTACCCTCTGCCAGCAACATCCAGGGTGCCTAGACTCCAGAAAGATGACAGAGAGTAGCACTATCCCGTAGCATCCTATAGCTCACTCACAGGAGGTTATGCCAGTGCAAAGGTTATTTCTGGCATAAGATCACAGAGATGTTATTTGCAGTTCTTTTGGGGACATCTGAACCAGGTACAGTTTCTAATTTCCCAGGTTCCCCCCACCTTTCTCTTCATGGACTAGCTAGACATATCTCCCTAGCTCATCTTTTCACTCCAGGGCCACCTCAGTCTCTTGTAAAAGGGCTGTCTCCCCTTTCCAAGGGGATCACAGTTCCCAGCCATATGTACCTCAAGTCACCCCTTTTCCCTAGGGATATGACCATTGTACACCCAAGCCTGTCTTGGAAAGCTACTAGGGCTACAAATCCAACCTGCTGGATATAGCACACATGTAGCCTCCTTCCTAGCATTCAAGCCCTCTAGAAGGAGAAAATAACAACAAATGCAACAAAACCAGTATCATGCCTGCTTCTATAGCAGTAGAACTGGGTAATAAACATGATGCTGCCGGATTCCTCCAGCTCATTTAACCAGATTACATCCCCGATACCAGTTCACCTGCTTGGGGTCACTGAGGTCCCGTGTCCCACTGTTGAGAGCAACGAGG